GCTCCATCCCTGGCAGTGTTCAAGGCCAGGTTGGACAGAGCCTTGTGTGACATGGTTTAGTGTGAGGTGTCTCTGCCTCTGGCAGGGGGGTTGGAACTTGATGATCTTAAGGTCCTTTCCAACCCTAACTATTCTATGATTCTACATGAGTACAAAGACGATGACAGCCCCTGCCAAGCCTGCTGACACACAGATCCTAAAGGAAAGGGGGTTATGGCAGTGGCATCCCTTGAGACAACCTCTGAGCTTCTCTCCCTGATGACAGGCGGGATGTAACTGCTGCAGTCTATCCTTGCTCTTGGCTGTAGCGTTTATTGTAGGCCAAGGGCATTGCCCTATTGGAGAGGACTGTCCTTGTGGTGAGCAGCATCTTGGCTCAAGGTGAGCAGCTTGCAGCAGTGCCTCTCTTCCTTCCACACTGGAGCACAGCACATGCCTCTCCTGGTAGGTCTTTCTTCTGACACAGCTCTTCTCCCTTTACCTGCATCTGGGGATATTGGTAGCTTCAGTATTCCTTTAGGGCTGGAGTGATTTATCTGTCATAGGGAGGATGAGGGGTCCTCCCTGCTGCGGTATTGGGACCCTAGCAAGCAACTAGGTATAGGCATCCTTCTGCAGTGCCAGGCTCCCTGGGGATGGATGGACTGCTTTGAACAAGTAGGTTTTAGTGTATTCACATGCATGAGGCATACAGATCCCTCCTAGCCCAGGACAGGCCTTACCAGCCAGGGCAGAAATACTGATACTGCCCTATCTGCTGCAGCAAACCTGGGGCTGCAAGCATCAGCTGTGTCCTGCCTGGAACCTTCCTGTGGTGGTTACCTATATCCATCAGCTTTCTCTCTAATACCCACCTGAAGTCCTAATTCTCTGGTTGATAACAGCTACTGAAGAGGGATTGTAGGATAATCTGCATGGGAAATTAGTCAGCTCCTGAAGAATATCTAAGCAGCTAGCTATAGGCTGTGAGTAAATGTGAATTAAATATGTGATGTAATTAATATCTTTGAAGTAAATGTCAGGGGTAGGGCTCCAAATAACCATCTGTAGAGTTTCTTCCCCTGCGCACCACTTCTCTCCTTCTGGGAAAATATGCTGGAGTTCTTCCCCAGGTGCCCTCTGTGTCTTCCAAGCAGAATAAAGCTGTACTTCTTTCTTCAACACTAGTTACTTGTGTGCTTGGTTCAGAGAAGGAGTCTTGCAAGAGGAGCTGGAGCTGCTTCTGCTCAGGAACAACATCTCTGAAGTTGCTTCTTGTGCTGTGTAGATACCTCCCTGTCAACCGTCTGTGTGTGGTGTGGGTTGGTTTGCAGTTTTCCCAGGGAGAGCTCAAGTGCAGCCTGGGGAAGTGCAGCTCAGTGGGTTGCAGCAAGTTGGCTTAAACCTGGAGCCGTGTTTCCCCTCAGTGCAGTGTGTGGAAAGTAACGAATGATGGCAGAGAGGCCAGGCCTGCCTGCCTGCATGCTTGGAAAGTCCTGCATTGGTTTTATGTGGCTAACGCAGGGAAGGTCCACTTGGCAGCCATGGAGACTTGGGGGTTCTTGCATTCTGTCTATATTTAGTTTTAAACAAGCCCTGGAGGAGGGGAAGGCTTTTGCCTAAGAAAGCATCCTGTTGCTGGGAGTGTGCTGCAGCTGAATCGCCATTGGCGTTCACTTTGGGTCATGGTGAGGTGTTCACAGTGTAGATCTGGGGAGGGGGCTGAGCGAGGCTGGTTGCACCCTGGCATGTTATTTCACAGTCATGTCTTGGTCTTTCAGGACATTGTAAGGCCTCCCCAGAGCATAACTGCTGTCATTTCCAGTTATTAGTGGATTTTTCACACTTCTGATTAACATCAATCACATGTATGTATGCGTTACTGGTTTGGGAGAAGGTTTAAGCAGGGGACACACATTTGGAGGGGACACTTCGTAAGACTGGAGAATTTTGTTCCCACTGTGTAGGGGAATTTGTAACCTCTGTGTTTCTGGTTTTATTTCCTCCTTAACATAGGGTATTTATCAACCAAGGGGAAAAAATGCCTGTCCAGGTGTGGGAGGTATCCAGGCTTGCATCAAGGAATGCCCCCCATGAGCCATTGTTTCCATCACAAATGATTGTGAAGAAAGGAAAAATTACCTTCTTCATATAGATCTTGCTGAGGTTTGCTGCCCCATTAAGGCAAGCTGAACGCAGCCCTTGGGTTGGAGGAACATGCCGTGTCCCCTGCTGTTCCTATGTCCTGCTGCACTTAGTGCCCTGGCCCACACCTTCTGTGGGACCAGGGTGACATGCTTCTTCCCAGAGCCCAGAGGTGACAACCCTGCCTAGCTGGGAAACACAGTACGATGAACCTGAGAGCAGGTTGTCCTTATGATCATCTTTCTCCACTGCTTCTGATAGGTCGCCAAAAACCGCCAGAGAAAAGGGAAGGGGCCATAGCATCGGCCTGGATGCTTTTGCAGGAGTTGCTTGCCATCACAGAACACTGAATGGTAAATGCAGCCAGGACATGCTCCAGTCCTTGTCATGGGTCCCACTGGGAGGATGTACTTCTGTCTCCAGAAGCCGGGGACTACTTTCTCCTTGCGTTTTTCTCACCACTAGGTGTGTTAAGGGTATGAAACAGGAGGGTGATTCTTCAGAGCTGATGGGGACTTCCCTCCTTCCCCTCCCTCCGCCACCTCTTTCCAAGATCAGTAGACCAGAGACAAGTGTGCATAAGGCAGAAGAAAGGCTGTCAGGAACTGTCTGGTGCCCTCAAATGATTTTATTTTCCATCTTTATGCTGAAGTCCAAGGGGAGAGTGTGCAACTGGTATATTGCTTTCACTGATCCAAAGTAAAAGGGCCTTGCTGCTTCTGGGCTGGGGAAGGTGATTTCTGCTACAGATACGTATGGAGCCTGCTGATATACAAGCTGGGGATCTGTCTGGGTGCTTGTGCTGGGAGGTGATTTATTACAATGGCTATGGGAAATCTGGTATCAGTGACTGTGGCCAAGGCTGAACCCTGCTGCACTGCATCTCCGTGCTGCACAGGCAGCATCTGAAGGCAGCAGCACATGTAGGACAGAGCAGGAAGGAAAAGTGGAGGAGAGGCACTGTGCGTTCCCTGTTCCCTGTTTTTGCAAAACCTATGGGATACAGCTGGATAAGCAATAGGGCTAACGAAGGCTGGAGAACGATGTGGAGAGTGAGAAAACAGAGGAAATGGAGAATGGGCTCTGGCTTTGTGTCTGTGCATGCTGAAGGGCGAGTGATTGGCACTGACTTGCAGTGCTTTGTTCTGGGTGGTAGCAGCTTGCTGCAGGGCAGGGCTTCCTGACGTGGCTTAGGAAGCATAACTTGCCAGCCGCAAGAGGCAGGAAAAGAAGGTGGGATGCTCAGGGAGACCCCGTCCCTGACCAGATTTGTGGCCAGCTCCACAAGGGCTGCTGCCGGGCAGCCTGAGCCAGTTCACTCTGCAGCAGTGCTGTGTGTGGAGGCTCTCCAGCCAGCCTGGGGCTGACTCACAGCACAGTGGTCACAGCCAAGTCAGGTCAGCCTGGCCTGGAGGGGAAGAGACAGTCTCTAGAGAGAGGAATGCTGTTAAATCTTCCAGCTTCTCAGGCAAACAGCCTTGCCCTCTGCTTGCTGGGGTGACCTCCTCTGCCAGGCATGCATTCTTCTCCCTGCTCCCTCTTACCACTGCTGTCTTCAGCTCTGCTGAAGGTTGTCAATCTGGAGGCTGTCAGCCAGGAACAAAGCAGATGGTTAAGCCAGCAGGGAAGTGGGAGCATGGAAGGAGCCACTAACAGGCTGGGTCAAGCAAACTTCTCTTTGCAAATCAGAGGGCTCAGCAGAGAGTATTTGTGGTGATCGAGACCAGGAGCTTCTCAACTGGGCATCTGCAGCAAGTAAAATTCCACGAGGTGAAGCAGATCAGGTTGGCACCAGGAGCACACGCTTCTCCCCAAACAGTGGATGCTGTGGGGCAGGAGTGGGACGGACGCACAGGGCTCATGCAGGCAAGTCTCGCTGTCCAGGGCAGGCGTGCTGGCTGCCAGTTAGTGATGCAGTCAACACCCCTGTGTTGCACGGTGGCCAAGGACTCTTATGACTAAGGAGAAGGGACTGAAGCAGGCTTTGGGATTTGTCACACAGGCTCTGCTTTTATTCTTGTTGTGGTGGTGGGGTCCAGCGTGACCTTCAGCTTGTGCCTGCTGCAAGTGCCAGCAGAGTGTTGAAGCCACCCCACCGGCACCCAGCCTCCTCCATGTGATATGAGAGGTGCCAGTCCCTGTGCCAGCAGTGCTCCTGGGGATCTTGCACCGGCAGCCAGAGCCACATGGCTCTGCAGTGCCCTTAGTCTTGTGCCAAGAGGCACCAGGATACGCTCGAGACTGCCCCTCCCAGCCCTGGCAGCTGTGGCAGAGATCCCTGATGTAGTTCCATGGCTGTCTTTCTGGTGTCTTCACCCTGAGCTTTGTTTAGCATCTGGAAACAATCTGGCTTTCCCTCTCTGAGGACTCTTTCCCTCCCTGCCCATGCTGTGGGGGGGTTTCTGGCCTGGACCAGCACAGGAGGAATCAAGGCACTGAGGCTGCCTCCCAGGGAGGAGGCTCAGCCCTGGTACCACATGCATCTCTGCTCTCTGGGGAGCTGCTGGCCAGTCTGAAGCTGGCCATGGGGCCCCTGGGGGTGTGGCAGAACCCAAGCAGTAGCTGACTGGTTTCCAGCTGCCAGTTAGTGGTGCAGCCCAGAGTAAGAGATGTGGGCAGGCCATAGGGATGGAGGAGGGGCATGCAGGGAGCAAACTTAGTGCTGCTTTGACACTGAAGGACCCCATGTTGATGCCTCTGGAGCACTTTCCATCAGTGGCTTTGGGCTGTGCTTTTGAGGAGACCACAGACTCAGCTGGAGGTCCAGCAAGCAGTGTCTCATGCACCCAGAAATGGCTGTTACCTGGGGCCATCCTCCCTGCATGGCTCAGACACCACTTGCCACTGATTTGCTTCCTTTTTTGTTCTTTTTCCAGTCCTCGGTATGCTCCAAGATTGTCCAGCTGCTGGGCCAGAATGAGGTGGACTACCGCCAGAAGCAGGTGGTGATCGTGAGCCAAGACAGCTTCTACCGGGTCCTCACCTCAGAGCAGAAATCCAAAGCACTCAAAGGCCAGTTCAATTTTGACCACCCAGGTGAATGGAGAACAGCACTGTGGCTCTGACATGCAGTGTGGGGGCAAGGGCTGGAGCGGGATCCCTTGGTTCACCAGCAAAGAGTCTTGCGTGGACACTGGGACCCTGTCTCCACATGGGGCATGAGTGGGAGACTTAGTTGAGCTGTTGTGGAGGGTTCACCCCTGGCAGGGTGGCTGGGGACTACCTGTGTTCCCTACAGTACAACCTCTGTCTCTCCTAGGAAGAAAACTGCCTGTGGGGTGGAGGGTTTGGGATGAGAAAGAACAGGTTGTGAACCCTCAAAACTCCTTGAGATGCTCCTCTTCTCCCTGCAAAATCATCTGTCAGTTTGAAAACCCTTCTGGTGCAGCTGGGTTGGGACCAGGGAGATCGGGTCTGGCGTAGCCCCCTGGAGCCAGCAGCTCTGTGTCCCTCCTTCAGGGAGGAACAGTGTTGTGCAGCTGCTCTGCAAACCCCTCCACTGAGAGGGCTGTGCCCTGTTACTACAACAGGGGCTCTTTGAACCATCTCTGGGCTTGGTGGGGGAATTCCAGAGCTGCTGTCCCTGCATTACCATAGGACAATGGCCAGAGACAGCAAACACTGAGCAAACAGAGCTCTGTCTGTCCAGTGACTCAAGGCTGAAACACTGCTCCAGTCTCTCTGAGGGCTGGAGCCCTGGAGGAGATGCCTTCCTGAGCCTGGGTAGCCGCACCACCGTACAAGGGCGGTATTGATCTCTGCAGGCCAGATCCCAGGCTAGTGCAAAGCAGTGACAGTGAATACCCAGGGTCTCTGGGAGACCTCGGCCTTGCTATGTCCACAGGGATGTGCAGGGGTTTTCTTCCTTGTCTGCATGTTTGTCTGTCCTGGTGGCTCTGGCTAGGCTAAGCTCAGTGTCTGGTGGGTGGGAAGGGTTTCAAAGCTGCCTCAGGTAACGTTTCCTCTCTCCTCAGATGCCTTTGACAACGAGCTGATCGTGAAAACACTCAAAGAGATCACGGAAGGGAAGACGGTCCAGATTCCTGTCTATGACTTTGTCTCCCACTCCAGGTCCAACAGCTGCTCCTGCCTTGCTGTGCTGCTGCTAACACCCTGTGGCACAGCACGCAGTCCTGCAAGCCCAAACCACCTGCCCCTCTGCTTGTGCCCACTGTTAGGCACCTAATGTGCCAACTCAAAGTTTCAAACCTAACTTCTCTAGACCTCTTGGTTAGAGGATCCAGGGCAGATACAGGTGCAGTCTGAGGGTCTGGAAAGCTGTGCAGCCAAGCAGTGGCATCCAGCAACATATAGGTGTCAACAGAGTTGGGCGGTATAGTCCCTCTTTTCTTCTCCCACCAACAGTTTCTCTCCCCACAAACTGTGTTTGCAGCTTTAACAAGTATTCCATGCTCAAACAGCCTGGCACTGCCAGGAAAGGAGGAGAGCAACAGTACTTGCTCCTGTAACTCTTCCCTTGCATGTGTTCAGCTTGTTTTTGCATGCCTATATTGGTTGTGGACAGTGTGACTCTGTTCCATTTCACACAGAAGCACTGTGGTGTCAGGGGAGTGCTGCCTGGCTGCCACAGGAGCAGAGCTGGCTCTTGCAGGTTCCCATGAGTCAAGCCCAATGTGTAGGCTTTCTGGGCTTTATGGTTTGGCACATAGTGCTTGCAAGCAGCAGGTGGCCAAGGCAGGGGGAGAAGTCCTGGTCTGCTTCCTGCTCTGCTGTTTATCCTTCTAGGAAGTGTACGTATGCCTTGGGCTCCCTTCACTGCAGTGGGATAGGTCTGCCCTCTTCTTGGTCACCCCCCTGGTGCAGCAGTGATGTCCCACGGTTGGAGCAGTGCCAAGGAGTGCCGCTGTTTCTCCTGCCTCTCTTGGCTTGTTTCCCCCTACCAGCATATTTTGACTCTCCCTCCTCCTGTTAGGAAAGAGGAGACGGTGACTGTCTACCCTGCCGATGTGGTGCTCTTCGAAGGCATCCTCGCCTTCTACAGCCAGGAGGTGCGGGATCTGTTCCGCATGAAGCTTTTTGTGGACACGGATGCAGACACCCGGCTGTCCCGCAGAGGTGAGGCCCAAACATGCCTTGTGGAGCAGGGACAGAAATGTCACTTAACTGATCTGGGCAGCTGGTCACAGAGACATATTACATTGACCAGAGCAGATCTGGAATTGGTACAAAGCTGTGCTGCTGCTAGCAAAGAGCCAGGGAGCTTTTCCTTCCCAGTGCAGAATATCACAGGGCAGCTTATGGCAGTGGAGAACACCTTGCTCCATGTCTCTTAGGATTCAGTGGGGTTTTTGCTGCCTTGCCTGGGATTCCTCCTTTGATGCATGTAGCAGTGTGACTACTGAGCATGCTGTGTCCTTGTATGGCCCTGTGGCACCAGCTCTGTGTCATCAGCTGAATAGCAGCTACATTCATCACATACTAGCAGGGAGGAGTGCAATGGGCAAGGCAGAGCATCTCAGCAGCTCAGTCGGAACACAGTGCCTGATAGATCTGCTCAGAACCTGGGATATGGATGTGTTCCAAAGATGGATTTGGGTGTGAGGTTGTCCATTGTAGATGATGATGCAAATAGGGAGTCTGGTGGTTCGGTTTTTTCATCTGTGCAAGCACAACCAGCGCAGCATGGAGCCTCTCTGTGGGAGGCACTGTGATGATGGCTTTGTGAGCGAAGAGCTCTAGATACCAGAATATCCCTCTCTAGGACACTCCATGTCCGGCTTGGCTATGGATTGCAGTTGACATAGGAGGGACTCCAGCTCTTCAGGATCTGTGTGCCTCGAGATGCTGGTCATTTCAAAGCAGCCTTTATGTGTGGGCTCACTGATGTAGCCATCTGAGTCTCCCTAGATGACTGAGAAAGCATTTGGGGATTCTTGGGGCAGAACTTGGTTTTCTCTGAACTATCCGTGCTCCTTCCTGGCTCCGACAACCTCCGTAGGATGTCTGGGGATGCAGAAGATGACTTAGGAGAAGTCCGGTCCAGACTTCTATGCTGTGATGAGAGGAGCATGTCTCAGTGTGTTAGCCTGGAACTGCTTGTGTGTTTGGGACTGTTCCACTCTGCTACAGAACTAGTCTTAGAATTACAAAATCAACTAGCTTGTAAAAGACTTTTAAGATCATAAAGTCCAACTGTTACCCCAGGACTGGCAAGACCACCACTAAACCATGTCACTAATGGCCTCAGGTACACGTTTTGAACACTTCCAGGGATGGTGATTCCACCATTGCCCCCTGGACAGATTGTTCCAATGGCTGACTACCCTTTCAGCGAAGAACTTTTTTCCTAATATCCAGTCTAAACCTCCCCTGGCACAGTTTGAGGCTGTTTGTTTCTCCTTGTCCTGTCACTTGCTACTTGAGAGAAGAGACCAGCCATCTCCTTGCTCCTTCTGCTTCCTCCTGCCTGCCTGCCTGCCCTTGTCTGTGGGACAGATACACAGCCTGCTGCTGGTTGTAATCAGTGCTGATCAGTCCTTTTTACACATCCTTCTTGACCCTGCCCAGTGTTTTTGCATGACTCATCCAGGGAGGTGACAGCACAGTCATTGCAGGGAGATGTGTTAGGAGATAGACATTTGCAAGATCCTGCAGTGTGAGCCTTATCCGTTAACCAGACTGTGCTGTAGAAGAACAAGAACTTGGGTTCACACGCAGCCACAGGGTAGCACACTGCTCTGGTTTAACTCCAGCCGGCAACTAAGCATCACACAGCCACTTGCTGTCTCTGCCCTCCCAGCAGGATAGGGAAGAAAACTGTAAGAGTAACAGTGAGAAAATTCTTGGGCTGAGATAAAGACAATTTAATAAGTGAAAAGCTGCATGTGCGAGCAAAGCAAACCAGGGAATTCACTCCTTCCCATCGGCAGGCAGGTGTTCACCATCCTCAGGAAAGGAGTACTTGGGAAGACAAATGCCATAATTCTGAATGCTGTGTCCTGTCATCTGTCATCCTTTCCTCCCCTGTCCTCCCTGGTTTCTTCCTTTTTCCCTAGCTTTATATGCCGAGTGAATATAATGTCATATGGTATGGAGTATCCCTTGGGTCAGTTGCGATCAGATGTCTCGGCTGTGCCTCCTCCCAACTTCTTGTGCACCCCTGGCCTACTCACTGATGGCGTGGTGTGAGAAGCAGAAAAGGCCTTGGCTCTCTGTAAGCACTGCTCAGCAATAACAAAAATATCCGTGTTATCAGCTCTGCTTTCAGCACAAATCCAAAATATAGCCTCATACTAGCTACTCTGAAGAAACTTAACTCTATCCCAGCCAAAGCCAGCACATTCTCCACTCCTTATTTCATACCATTTATGTCATGCTCAGGTCCTACATTATCCAATGCATTCTGATTGTCCACCACACCTCTTCCCATCCTTCAATATAATGCACAGATATAATTCCCTTTGTTTATGGACCACCCTTATAAAATAGCTGCAAATGTCCATTGAATTCATTTAGTCCATGACTTTGGGCTCCATCTGTTACAGTGATCACATGGGACAAGAGAGGTAGTGTGTTGCGTGGAGTTACTGGGCACCAAAGTCAGCTCAGGTTGGGTCACTGCTGCACTTGCACTGCTTCTTGTAAGGCTTGACCTCCATTGATTCAGGTGCCTCCTGTTACAGTAATTCCTATAACATGCAACTTAAATTATGTGTTACAATGATTTAAAGGTTATTCATTACAATCTTCACCTCTTCCCCCTTTGGGCCAGGTTATAGGGTTTAATATTGCAATGAACTCTTTCCCTTGATCCCAGCCTGGCTAGCAACAAGACCACACTGCTATAGCAATTCCTGTAACATACAACTCAAGTCTCAGGTTACAACAATTTTGGCAGTGCCCCGGATCAGCTGTCTGAAGGGAAGGTGTTGCATGTGCATTTGCAGTGCAGCATGACCGTGTGCATCCCAGCTACACTCTGGAGTGGATGGTTCAGTCACTTTCGGCTTGGCACAGAAGGGTGAGCTCAGGGTGTGAAAACTGGTTGAGATCACATCCAGGATCTGAGAACTGAGACTATCCAGCTGTTGACCACAACACAGAGGTAAACCCAGTTGTGCTGCAGCTGTTGGAGAGGGTCTACCTGGGCCCAGGCTATTAGGTATTTCACCCACCACCAAGTGCTAAAGCCTTGCAAAGGGGCAGCTGGCCTGGTTGAGGTGCTGGTATGTCCCAGTTAGGGCGACTCATTGGCTTCCTGGGTAGGGAATTGACCTGGCTTGCTGTTAGCAGTTGGTAGGACCCTTGCAGCAGTAAATCTGTTTATCTCCCTAACATTTCAGAGAAAGGAGAACCTGCATGTGAGGTGCTGAAGCTATAATTGCATCCCTGGAATGTAGCTGGAGGCAGTTCGTAGCAAAAGTCAGGATCTTGTGTTGTGACATGGACTTGAGTCTCATCTTGCTCTCTTGGAATTCCTGAAGAGTTGCAGCCATGGGCTTTTCAACTAGGGAGCAGCAGATGAGGTTCCTGCAAATGTAGCTGACAGCTTGGTTAATCAGTAGTGCTGTGATTCTGTACCTGTAACTTGCACTGTCCCCATCTCTGCACCTCTCCCAGGCAAAACACTGCTGCCATAGGACAAGGGGCTAGGTCTGTTGAGTGCCTCAAACAGGCTGAGCCATGCAAAGCTGATTCTGGCAGAGGTCACTTCACTGCTCTGTCCTCAATCAGCTGCTGTAAAACAAAAGACAAGTCATTGTACATGTTTTGGACCTGATTTGAGAGATGTCTGCCTGCTGGTTCTACATGGTGCCAATCTGTCCTTGGGACATTTGCCTGCCCTGCAAGTAGAGGGTGATACTTCCAGATAGGGTGGGTGGTCTTAGCCTGAGTTGCTGGGACCTTTTGCTTTGGGTCAGGTACAAGACAATAGGTGCTTGACTTGTGTTTGTGTGTGAGGGTGATTTGCCCTGCTGTGGTCTGCCTGGGAGCAGGCAGGAGAGCTTTGCCTGTCAGGACCAGTCCCTGCAAGGTGGACACTCGCCCTTATGCAGCTCACAGACCTCAAGCATGCCATGCCAGGCTGGGTGTGCTGTAAATATGCCCTAACTGTGCTCCTTCCCTGCCTCAGAGCAGCCAACAAACAGGGTGTGGGACCTGGGAAACAAAAATCTTTCTGGTTTATGTTCCTGTTTTTCTGTATTGTTTGAGCTGGGGCTTGTTCTCACTCTGGAAGGAGCTGTCTAGAGCAACCTGGGCTGAGCTGAGCCATTCCTGGAGCTGGCATACATCCTGCTCCCAGTCCTTTCTTTCCTTCGTCACCTCCCCCGCTAGGGGCTGCAAAAGAGCACAGTGGCTGAGGACAAAGAGATCCACAGGAACGGTGCCAAACCAGCGCTGTCCTGGCTCTGCAAGTACATGGGCAGTGGCTGCCGAGCAAGTCACACAGGCTAGTAGTGCTGTGGCTTGGCTCTGCCTTGTCCTGTGGAAAAGGTTCACTCCAAACCCAGTGCCAGGCGTGCTGGGTGGAAGCCAGCCCCCTGGGGGGAGCCAAGAGCCATCTGCTTTGCCACAGCACAGCAGTTTTGGCTCTTACCCATGGGCTGAATTCCCACTGAACTGGGGTGCTTGTTCATGTTGAAGTGGCTTCAGACTGGGGATGGCAATGGCCCAAATACCTTATGCAAGCAGGGTGTAAGGCCCAAATGGCAGAACAAGCAGGAGGCCAGCTTACTCTCCTTGCTTCCTCCAAGCACCACCCCCAGCCTCTTGCTGTGGGAGCCTGCTTTGCCTTCCCATCCTACTCAGCTGGGAGCAGCACAGGGAGCCTGGCAGAGCTGGGTAGGTGGGCGAGTTTTACTATGCACACCTGAGTTAAACTGTGCCTTAATATGTGTACAGGTGAGCTCCACTGCTTTTTTATTCTTTGGGCACCTCTGTACCAGATCGACAGGGAAATGGCCGTAAATGCCTTTTGGCCAAAGGAGTGATGGGAGGGTTGCAGGGACTGTGAGGCTGGGAATAGTCAAGACTGGGGTAGCACTGGTTACAGCTGAAATGTGCTTGCAGAGATAAGAGGAGAGGGAGGACAAGGAAAACCCTTAGGTCAGCCAGCTCTTGGCTCCCAGGAAAGCCTGCAAGCATGTAGCAGGAGTGAGGTGTGCTTGAACATGTGGGCAGCAGCTTCCAGGAACAAAGACCTCTTGCAAAATACATGGGTGGCTGGCCAAAGAGAAGGGGGATGGAGTAATTAATGTCTTAGCTCCTGACTGTGGCTTACATCTTCCCTGCAGTGCTACGAGATATCAGTGAGCGAGGCAGGGACCTGGAGCAGATCTTATCTCAGTACATCACCTTCGTCAAGCCTGCCTTTGAAGAGTTCTGTTTGCCAGTAAGTAAAGGGAGTGACAGCCACAGGAGTCTGCCAGAAATGCCTTATACCATGGCCAGCCCTTCAGACAGGAGCATTTTGTGTCCCAGAGCTCAGGTCAGCCTGTCTCACCTTCATCCCTCCCTGCAGGCAGTGGGGGTGCTAGTGCTGGCTGAGACAAGGCGAGATGGGGACTATTTATACTGCCTTCCCAGTAAGCTCACACTTCCCTGTGGGGATGCCTGTATGGCAGAATAAACCCCTCCCTGCACAGGGTCCGATAAACCAACACCAGGCAGCCCAGCAGATGCCAGCCAGGAGGGAAGATCCTTGGCTGCATCTAGCCAGGGCAGATTCCTGACACAGGCAGTGTCTGCTGTGTCTGCCTCCTGTTTTGGACTGTCTTGCGTGCACTTTTCACCCTGGAGTATTTCTGGCTTCTTGCTGGCTGGATGCTTGGGAGAGCAAGGGAGCTTCTTCCTGTGCTGTGTGCTGCAGGATGTGGCCTAGCAGGTTGCATTTCCTGGCTGTTGAGAGGCCAAGGTATAGAACACACAGACCTTGCTCTGGGCTAGCGTTGCAAGGTCTGCCTGGAGAAAGGAAGCTACTTTGAGAATGAAAAATGCGGCAAGGCTCCCTAGCAGACAGGGACTTTGCGTGAGGGACACCACTGCAGTTGTGCAGAACTTGCAGGTGAAATAGCACGTCTGCAGGACTAGCCATTGCACACCTCTCTTGGCTGCCATGCAGAGGAGCCTGTGCCTTGGTTCTCAAGGCTTTTGAAGCAGATGTGGTAGTTATATGAGGATTTTCTTCTTATTCTGGAGGCAGAATAAGAAGGAACAGTCCTGCAGCCTGAGAACTGCCGGCCAGCACTACAGGCAAGAATGGAACCTGGGTTGTCAGCCTCAGGAGCATCTCTGTGCCTGTCTAGGTGGCCAGCTCTGCCCTTTCCTGTAAGAGGGGCTGATTTGCTCTGTGCTTGTTACAAGATCTTTTCCTGGCCCTTCAGCACTCTTTTCTCTGCCTTGCTCGACTGTGGCTCTGGGGACTAACATCCAAATCCTGGTAATCCCAGAAAAGCTTTTCCTGAAAGGCAGGTCCAGTTAGTGGCTCCCTTCCTTGCAAGTCCCCAGCCAGGTAAATCTGCAGCTTTGCAAAGCAGCAGATGCTGCATCAGTCTCTTCTGTTGAAGAGCCTGTAGGAGGATGGGATGTGAAACAAGCAGGGTAGAAAACAGCTGCAGTGGCCTGTTCCTGCTTCTAACCTGGTGGTGCACTCAGCTGCAAAACAATTGCATGCGGATGTTAAGCAGGCTCAGCCTCCACTGTTGCTCTCTTACAGCTCCTAACCCAGCCCTGGGCCAGGTGGTCCAGCACTGAAATGGTCCAGCATCTGCTGATGATTTTTTATATGAAGGTGTCAGATGGAACCCTTCATCCATGGAGCTGTCTTCTTTACTGGTGGTAGAGCTTGGCTGTCAGGAACTGGTCAGCTGTAAAAGCTGACACAAATAAGGGAGGAAACTGAGACTGGCACCTACAGGTGAAGATAGGTCAGAACTGGTGTCCCGAATCAGACCTTTTTTGCAAGCGATGCTGGTAGAACATTCTTCCCCCATCCCAAGGAGACCACATGGCTGTGCCCAGGCATGCCAACTCTTGCATGAAGTCGGCTGGATTCAGCAGAGAGGTTATTCCCAAAAGCATCAACTGCTGGAGTCTTGTGATTGTGAGGATTTTTTATTTCAGGTTTGTTAAGCCGACTCTTGCTGCCTCTTACTGCAGTCTGTATGAGCTCATGAAAATGGAGCCAAGGCACAAAGTGTGGCCCTTGAAACACAGAGCGAAAAACAAACAGAAAAAAGCATCCAAAATGTGTTATCAGCAATGACATACCTCCCAGGGGGTTTGGGTTTGGCAAGGGGAGGGGAAGTACCTGCCCCAGGAAGCAGGGACAATGCCGCAGCCTGGCGGGTCTCCGCTTTTGCCGTAACACAGTGCTCTCTTTCCTCCCAGACCAAGAAGTATGCTGATGTGATCATTCCCAGAGGAGCAGATAATGAAGGTGAGTGGACCCAGAGCCTGCTGTTATGTCCTGGCTGCCAGCTTTGGGCTGTGCTGTTGCAGTGAAGCCTTCCACAGAGGTGACTTAAATTACTGTCACCCAAGAGGGTGCTGTTACCACACATGCACTCCCCAAGATGAGCCTCTCCCTTTTGCTGCTTCCTGGCTGGAAGTTTGTGCTCCTCTGATAAAGCATGGGTGCCCATCTACATGCAGTGCCTCTAGGCAAACTCCTGGTTTATCCCACACAAAGGGAAATAAATGTGCTTCTCCCAAGGCAAGATGTGCAACTGGGACAGCCAGTTGCTGGCTTGCGTGTTGGGCTTAGCTGGGGCAGAGGGATGAAGTCCCAGCAGGCAGCTCCTCCTGGCAGGGTTGCAGCTCCTTACCATGGAATAGCAGGGGATGGGAGCAAGGGAGACATCAGGGTCATAATCTCTGGACTGGCTCTAGTTTAATTGCAATGATCCTAATGCAATCTCTCCCTCATGTCTTTGCCTCCTTTTTGTTCACAGTGGCCATAAACCTCATTGTGCAGCATATCCAGGACATTCTTAATGGAGGACTCAGCAAACGCCAGAGCAACGGCTACCTGAATGGCTACACTCCTCCCCGCCAGCGGCAGCCCTCAGAGTCCAGCAGCCGGCCTCACTGACCCGAGGGGCAGCTTGAGGCTGGGGCAGAGGGCGGGCACTCAGGCCCTGACAACACTGCCCCTCTGTACATACTGTTTATTCATTCCCCCCTTATCTATTTAAGAAACCAGATGGAGATGAATGCCTTTAATTTTTTATGTTTGAAATGCTGACTGAGAGTCAGCCAGCTACTTGGGAGCCTGGACTGTCCACAGCTCCTGGCCTTGCTCAACAACTCCTCTAGCACGGAACCGGCTATAAGTATCTATAAATATAGAATTGCTCTATTTTTGTGTAAATGTAGAATAATGTAAAATTACTTGCCATAAGGTATTCACTAGGCTGAGTGTTGCTGGGAGGGCACAGGGAAGAGGGTCATAGGAGATGTTGCAGTCAGGATCTTCACCTCAAAGGCATGAAGGAAGAGCAACAGGTGCTTTAGTATCGCAGTGGTCTCTACCCCAGGGAAGGGACAGACCTGTGGTGACTTGAGTGTGGCATGGATTTCTCAACTGGGCTGTTCAGGCCTGCTGTTGCTGTTCATGCCTGAGCAGCCTGGGTTTGGCTGGCAGGCACTGCACAATACTGCTGGGAGAATGATGTGTAATACCCCCCCCGACTGGCTCTGCACTACCGGGTCTCAGTCTCTCAGCAGCATCCCTTTCTGTGTCTGACACCCCTTCACACCACAGTGTGGGTCAGCTGTCACACTTTCAGCAAGGGTCTGGTAGGGGATGCTGTGTATGTGATCATATGAACACAGTAGCTCATGTCTTTAGCAGTCTCAGTGCTTGGCTTGGGTGGGGACGGCACGCTCTGATGCTTGGTGGCCAGGTGTGTGGTGGGACTCCTAGCACAGCTCTAGGGTCGACCCTAAGCCTGGAGAATGGTTTGCAGAAGGTCAGAAGTGTGTCTGTCATTCCTCACTGGGAATGGTTTTGCTCTAGATCGGGGATTTGGTGTCTGTAAGATATGGTTAAGGGAGAACCAACTTCTACTGAACGGAAGGAGGAATAGATGATGAAAGGTGGCTGCTGAGCAGGCTGTCTCAGCAGGGGCAGCAGCGTGTCCCTGGGCTGCCTAATATCCCCATATGGGACATCCACAGGTCCCAGCTGGGTGGCATGAACCTGGATGCCCTAAGATTTTCTGTTCCCCTTTTTCAAAGCATGCTGTCACCTAGTCTGTGTCCCTTTCATTGCATCCCAGTGGAGGACAGTGCCCCTGCAGTCATCCCCAGGGTTGCCAAGGAAGTGCCTTCCCTTGCACAGGGTGAATCTCCCTTAACCTGGTAGTGCTGCAGCACCCATGTCTCAGTAGAGGCTGGCAGGATTGGACTGCATGTCAAGGGATGCCTGGAGAGCAAGGGGCAGTAGGGCTGGGCCAGAGGCTTGGTGACAGCCAGGGAAGGGGACATAGGATGGCAGCCTTTGGCCCATGCTGCTATGTCTGACTTGCCGCATTGAAAACAAGCTTTCATAGGCATCCCGTGAAGCCCGGAGCAGGGGCCATTAGCCTTGCTCTCTCCAGTGCTTCCCAGCTTTTCCAGAACATTGTTTTTGCTCTGCATGGTTAAAAGCTTAAGACCTTAGATGCTCAATGCTCCATTGCTCCCCAGCCTCATGTGAGATAAAATTTGATTTTTAGTGAGAACAAGAAAGGAAACACACACTCCACACACTCCCTGCCATGACCTCTGCTGAAACAATCTCATTCCCTCTTGCACATGGCAGCCTTTTATCCCCTTTCTTGTCTTTATCCCCTTTATCCACTTATCCCAGACACTTCTCAAGGCATGCTAGCTTTGCCATAGAGGCTGCACTGGGTAATTCTAGGTACAGCCATAATGTCACAGAACTGATAAATTGAAGCTGAACAAAATTTATTCAAACTCAATTAAAACTCCACCAACACAAACTAAAAATTTGGAATGTCACATGAATTCATCACTATGCTGCTAAATCTTAAACTTCATGGTCAATGATCCAAAATGCGCAATCACTCACATGAAATGGGAGGGCTCTCAACATCGAGGAGTTCCCCTGTGAATGGTGTCCTGACCCAAGGGGAGAGTCCCTGACTGCAGACCTGCTGCTCTGAGGAGGACCAAAACTACATGCCCTCTGGTGCGGCTCCTTTTATACCGTGGTCGAGTCTGAGCTGTGGTTAGACATGGTCATATAGGCCCCTATGGGCTCAGGACCCAACTTCTTCACTCCTACACCCACGGACCACCACCATGTGGGTGGGACAAGAGCTGTGCATGCGGGAAGCTCTATCGGGCTCTTGTCTATGGTGGGAAGCTTTCCTGGGCTTTTGTCAGGGTGGGTATACCTGCCACATATAGGTAAGAGAGACCAAAGCCCTGCAGAACTGGTGAGGCATCATGGGGCTTAAGCAGCCAAGACAGCTCTCAAGATAAAATGCTAGCCTCCTTCTTCCCTGTAAATAAAGACAGAACAAATGGTTGCTGGTGTTTCTTGTTTCCTGTTTGGTACTGCGTGTTGCCAGCTGTGTTCCCAGTGTGGAAGCAGACTTGGGCAATGTTGTCTTAGTTCTGCAAGTCAAAGCCAGACCTGGAGTAGAGTTCCTGGCACAGACTGCTTGGGTGAAGAGGGAGGTGCTGAAGGCAGTGGCTCTGTCTTTTGTCTGGCCAGGCTAGCTCTCAGCAAGACCAGGGCACTTACGGCTTTGGGTGTTTTTCTGAACCCCCTCTGTGATCTCAGGATAGCAGAGAGAGAAGCTGAGCTTTTGCCATTAAATCTTTTGAAGAGGTGACAGCCAAATGAATTTCAACAAAAGAGCTTACAGGCAGGGTGGCATTAGCAATAGTAGGGTGGGCACTAGGCAAGGGAGAGACTGCTTTTAGCACAGGGGTAGATCACTGTGTGGCAAATCACTTTATGTCATCATGGATCACAAAGGGGAAGGCATGCTTAAACAAAGTGGTAACTTTCTATAAAAAAATGACTGGCTTAGCAGATGAGGGAAGATCAGAGCATATTGTCTATGTTGATTTTTCTCAGACTACTGACAAAGACTCCCATAAGATCCTCAGGTGAAGCTCTTGATGTATGGGCTGGCTGAGCAGACAGATAGACTGAAAACTGGCTGAATGGCTGACACAAAGAGCGTGTTGATTAGTGAGGACAAGAAACTAGTGGTGTAGCCAGGAGTCAGTGCACTCACAAGGGACAAGGGCACCCTCTGGGAAAAATGCTCTCCAATGATTGACCCAAATTAAGTTTCACCCTGTAGAGGCCTGCTGCTTTCTCCCTTGCATTACTGCTGGGTATGGAGACACAAAGAGTCGTTTGCACCACCAGGCAGGAGTCTTAAAAGGAAGACCAGCACCTTCATGCCCCATGTTGTGCTGGGGTCTCTTGGAGGGTTTTGGCCCTGAGCTTTGGTGTGTCCAAAATCTGCATTTTCCTTCACGGCTACAGAAGAGAGGCCATCAGGCCTTGGTGGGTCCCTCTTCTCCTGACTGTGCTGCAGTTCTGGAACAGGTATTTTCTGTTGTTCATCTCTGAGGAGGAATAATGAAATGCTCCTCAGATCTGACCACTGCAGGGGATAAAAGCCGAGGCCAGCATCCACAGGGGTCCTTAGTAGGCTGGCTTTCTCCCCTGGCTGCCATCCAGCTACTACATTAGAGATTCACATAGATCTGCAGCCACAGTCACTTCTGCTCCAGAGAGGGAACTCGATGCGCCAAAAGCCTTCCTTTGCAACAGGCATTTCACTACGTCTCTTTCACGACTGACCCAACTTAAACTGCACCCTGTAAAGTCCTGCTGCTTTGTGTCCTGCCCGGTACACATGCTGGCTGAAGTTGCATGGGGAGCTGGAGATAAGGTGCTCCACTTCTTACCATTTCCTTGTGCCTTCTTCAAGTGGTTGTGATACGTGGATAGACTCCACAACTCGTTAAAGTTGTAAAGTAGGTATGCTTTATTCAGCTCTGAGGTGCACGGGGGAACGCTCCTCCAAAGGCATGCGCACCTTTCCTCTGCCGCTCAGCGTGTTTTTATTGCATATCATGATTACATAAACATGAGATTGCTTCAGGCCTAAGACATGTGCAAAACCTATTCCCGTCTAGTATTATTATTAGTTTTCTGGCACTCGTCCCATTGATGTGCTTGTGCAGTGCCTCCTGGTGGTGGTCGTTAGGGGGTCATGAGGATGAAGGCCTGTTGCTCCTCTTCATAGAATCATAGAACGGTTAGGGTTGGAAAGGACCTTAAGATCATCAAGTTCCAACCCCCCTGCCATGGGCAGGGACACCTCGCACTAAACCATGTCACCCAAGGCCTCGTCCAACCTGGCCTTGAACACTGCCAGGGATGGAGCATTCACAACCTCTCTGGGCAACCTATTCCAGTGCCTCACCACCCTAAGAGGAAAGAATTTCTTCCTTATATCCAATCTAAACTTCCCCTGTTTAAGTTTTAACCCGTTAGCCCTTGTCCTGTCACTACAGTCCCTAATGAAGAGTCCCTCCCCAGCATCCCTGTAGGCCCCCTTCAGATACCGGAAGGCTGCTATGAGGTCTCCAGGCAGCCGCCTCTTCTCCAGGCTGAACAGCCCCAACTTTCTAATGTCTTTTAAGTGTACATCACACAAGTTATGAATCTTATCTACTACAATTTTGTCTAGCAGCTGTAACTTCTACAATTCTGCTTTGCAATTCTAGCAACTTTAACTCCTACGATTCTGCTTTGCCAAGCACACTGACTGCTTAAGCAAGCAATGTGATAAATGTTAAGCAAGCACAATGTTAACCCTTTATTCCCAGATACCAGTTCCAGTCAATCACTTTCTGGGACAGGTGGGAGATACGCTGCAGGTACGTGATCATCACTGCATGGGCAATCTTCAGCCAGCAGAGGAACCCGTAGTTTCTCTGGCTTCTCTTTCTCCAGCAGCCTGTCCTCCTGAGAGATGAGGCCGTCTGTCTCCTTCCCTGGAAACAACAGGGCTGGGGCACAAAGAAGCAGGTGAGGCCTGGTGGAGCTAAAAAGTGCCCTGCTGGTCTTGGCTTCCTCTGGAAGAAGTTCAGCCTTGCAGGACTGCCCAGGGTAGTACGTTGAGCTGAGGAAACCTCCATGGGACCTGTGTTCTGCTGGGGTGTCTTGGAGGGTTTTGTCCCTGCGCTTTGGCATGTCCTTTGTGAAGAAGCAAAGGACCTCTCGGGGCCTACTGAAGCTTTCTTGCCCAATATGGATTTTGTTTGTTCATTGCAAGCCTTCCTGGCCAAGGCTGTTGCGTTTTGTTTGCTCCCCACAACCTGTCC